CGGCCTGTACTTGAGAACAGACTCCTGCTAGCCGACGTGTTCGAGACGTTTAGGAGGACGTGTTTTAAGCAGTATCAACTCGACCCTGCATGGTACTACACCAGCCCAGGTCTATCTTGGGATGCCTTGCTGAAGAAAACCGGAGTTAAGTTGGAATTGCTCACCGATTACGACATGCACTTGTTCATTGAGAAAGGCTTGCGAGGTGGGATTTCCATGACTCGAGGAAGCCAACCACTCACATCCTCTACCTCGATGCCAGCAACCTGTACGGCTGGGCCATGAGCCAGTATCTACCCACAGGGTGATTTGAATGGGCATCACCCGAGATCGATGTTATGAGCATCGTGCCAGATTTGAACAAAGGCTATATCCTCGAAGTGGACTTGGAATACCCCAAGGCATTGCACACATCGCACAACAGCTACCCCATGGCCCCCGAACGTTTGAGGGTTAACCCAGACTGGATGTCCAAGTACCAACATAACTTGCTGGGTGGGCGGGTGTCAGACGTTGAAAAACTCTGGCCAACTTAATGAATAAGACCAAGTACATCGTGCACTATCGCAACCTACAGCTGTACCTGTCGTTGGGTATGAGGTTGACCAAAATACACAGGGTGCTCGTGTTCGACCAGAGCCCCTGGATGGAGCCCTACATCAGAATGAACACGGACCTGCGAAAGCTGGCCACCAGTGACTTCGAGAAAAAACTCTACAAACTCATGAACAACTCGGTGTTCGGTAAGACAATGGAGAACCTGAGGAAACGCGTGACCGTGAAGCTGGTTCGGTCGAAAGAGGAAGACAAGATCAGGAAACTGATAGCCAGCACGGCATTCAACCGGAGCAAGATATTCACCGACGACCTGGTGGCCCTTCACATGAAGAAAAGCCACATCAAATTCAACCGGCCTGTTTATGTGGGGATGAGCATCCTCGATTTATCCAAACACCTGATGTACGACTTTTACTACAACGAGCTCAAGAAGCAGTACGGCACCAGGTGTTTCCTGCTGATGGAGATTCGAACCGAGGACGTGTACGAGGACATGGTAAAACACATCCATTTATACGACACCAATGACTACCCCAAAGGCCATGCCATGCACAGCACGGTTAACAAAAAGGTCCTCGGTAAGATGAAGGACGAGTGTGCTGGCACGCCCATAGCCGAGTACATAGGCTTGAGACCCAAGACGTACTCCATCCTGAAGGCCGACAATAGCGAGATCCGAAAGGCGAAGGGTGTCAAGAAGTACGTGATGAAACAACACATCAAACACGCCAGATTCAAGGAAGCCCTGTTCAAGACCCGCACCTTCAGAAATCAAATGAACACGCTTAGAAGCAACGGGCACAGGATATACGGACTGACGATAAACAAGACGTCCCTATCACCAATGGACACGAAGCGTTGGATAGCCATCGACGGGATTAACACGTACGCGTACGGGCATGAGAAAATTGAACCAAGAACATAGGTGTATATATAAATACCCTGTCGGGGCGACAACGATGTCACGGAACCAAAGAAAGTTTGAGGCTATTTACTACAGCCCGCGTGGGTACTGGAAAGGAGCTAGCGCCGTACATAAGCTGGCCAAAATGGCGCGAGTACACCCGGACAAGGCTAAAGCGTGGCTTGAAAAACAAGCCCTTTGGCAGATCTATTTACCGGCACCACGCTACGTGCCTAGAAGAAAGTTCAGCATTACCGTACCCAATAACGCCCACCAGGCCGACCTCCTGTTCCTACCCCTTGACAGGAGGTACAAGTATGCCCTAACCGTCGTTGACGTTGCCAACCGCTACAAGGAAGCCGAACCCTTGACCGCGAAGGATGCGGCCCTAGTAGCCCACGGATTTGAACTCATATACAAACGCAGTCCGCTGACATGGCCCACAGGGCCCAGAGTTCATGGGTGCCATGTCACAACTGCTAGCCAAACACAATACCAAGGTCAGGTGTGGCGCAGTCGGAGCCCATCGCAGCCAAGCCATAGTCGAGAGATTCAATCGGACTTTGGCTGAGCTCTTATTCGGGCACCAGTATGCGAGAGTGATGGTCAACCCAGAAAAACGATCAACGGAATGGGTAGCGCGGCTACCTCAGGTGGTGTCGGCTATCAACCACGAAACCACCCGTCTCACCGGCAAGAAACCAGCCGACGCTATCAAACTGAAATCAGTGGTGGCTGAGTCGGCTGCACCATCGCGTGAGAAGGAGAAACAGATACCCGATAGGGCCCTCGTGAGTTACCTCTACCAGCCGGGGGAACACGAAGGGGACACTCGGAAACGAGCCACCGATCCGATATGGTCAGTCAAAACTTACAACATAGATAAAGTGGACATCAAAGCCGACGAGCCAAACTTGTACTACTTTAAAGATGGGCCAGGGAGAGGTTTCGTCAGAGAGGAATTATTGGTCATACCATACGGCACAATGTTGCCACCCAAGCAAAATATTTAACACTTACCTTGTCGAGTAATCTTAATGGTATCCTGTCAACACGGCATAGAGCCATCACGTGATCAGGAAAGCGCTAGTTCGCGGTCATAGTGACCGGGAAGTTAACTGGGGATTCAAAAGTAGTATATACAATGGTGGCGAGACCTAAGGGCCTGACAAAAGCTTTATTGATGAAATAAAGCTTTACAGAGGCTTTTGTTGGACTTGGTCTCGGACAATCATTGTATATACTACTACCCGACACGTCATAGAGGCATATCTATGAGGAGCCAAACCCCCTGAAGATGTAGTAGGCGCTGATGCAGTATGTTAAACACCTGAAACACTGAATATAGTGGAGGCATCGTATAGGCGCTGGAGTGAGTGAGTGAGTGAGCGAGTATGGTTGTATAGGTGCTGGATCTAATAGAGGCGCAGTACAGGTGCTGGACCTGGTAGAAACGCGGTACAGGCACTGGAGTGAGTATGGTGTTATAGGCGTTGGAACTAGTAGATCGCCGAGCAGGCGCTGGATCTGGTAGAAATGCCGGACAGACGTTGGAGTGAGTGAGTGAGAATGGTTTTATAGGCGCAGACAGGCGCTGGATCTAGTGGAAAGGCCGGACAGGCACTGGAATGAGTGAATAGGTATAGTTTTATAGGCGCTATACAGGCGCTGGATCTGGTAGAAATGCCATACAGGTGCTTTGAATAAGTATGGTTTTATAGGCACCGTACAGGCGTTTGATCTGGTAAAGGAGTGGTATAGGAGCTGGGGCTGGTAGAGGTGCCGTATAGGCCCAGGATCTGGTGGAGGTGCCGTATAGGCGCTGGATCTGATAGATGACCATATATTCGCTGTAGTCAGGAACAACGCTGGAACAGGTAGGTGTTGGCGACAGAGGCGCTGACACCGACTGCTGAACTCTGAACTCGCAGTGGATGTGGTAGATACGCCGTATCCATAGGCGCTGCAGTGATGAACAGCGGAGGTGCTGTTGTGTGCCCTGCTAACTAGGTCAAGTGTGTAATGGGTGTCGAAACATCCAGTGACTGCATCTGAGGCATCAGGAGTAGGATGTCTGCCAGGGAAACGTATGACACGGCAGCCTGGAGAATGGAGATGGAGCACCAGACGCCCTAGAGCTAGTGAACATCAGTGGTGTGGTAAGTATCTGGATGCTTGTCACAGGCGACATCGGTGTTAGACTTGGCGCTTCATAGACGTGAAAAAAGGTGTGAAGATGATTAAGTAAGCGCAACTAGCACATTCATTCATAGACAGGGAAAAACACGGAAAAGTGCAATGCAAACTGTGAATCAGGGCACTTATGAGATTCCCCGGCTTTACAAGCTATACAGCGTGTGCCGTATAGAAACTGCAATATAGCAGAAACCCCCAGCAAACACATTATAATAGTAATGGGGTATAACAGCATAATTGAGAACAAACGTCTTACAATATACTGACAAAACTGGAGACCAGAATAAGGCTTCATAACAATATATGACTATAGCATAACATATAAGCATGAGCCAAGAACAAGCCACTACGAATACCTCTAAGACACAAGTTCTGAATGGCGAAGTGACCGATAATAGTGATGACAACTATCGTGTTTATAACAAACACCATCACGACAACAGTACTACAAAAAACGAAAGAGAAGGGTAATACCTACACCCTCTGAAGAACAAATGAAAATACACAGTTTATTGTCAATAAACACAAACTCATAGGATACAAAACAGTCAAGCTGGCAAACCAAACGTCTTGCGAGGCGTGCGAAAAGCAATAATCTGAGGTGGCTGACATCACCTTCTGGTAATGCGTGCACAGATGGATGTTTATCAGAGACCAGGAAGTGATCACTACGTTTTCAGCTTCAAGCGTCTGGCGTCGTAAGCAATAAGTGCAGGAAGTAAGTAGTGCAGGATTAGTTAAAAATTAACATGGTACATTTAGCCATTTCCTAAAAGGCATTGTGTATTTCGGCCATGAAAGCCATGTGAATTTACACTTGTCAGAGGGACATACAAAGTATGTGATCTTTACCTCCTCTTGCTACACTTCTAATTTATTGGCTGAATGGGTCAGATCATTCAAGCATATTCACTCTACATCCTTCATTGAACCAAAACGTCACTATGTAAAGAACCATGTTTCATTATCATTTCATTCACAACACACATACACTAGTAATTAGAAACACATACATTTACATGCATACCCCACTTTTCACAATTACATACATACCAGTAGTTAATATGATTGAGTGAGTGAGTCAGTTTAGTTTTACGCCGCACTCAGCAATCTTCCAACTATATGGCGGCGTTCTGTAAATAATCGGGTCTGGACCAGACAATCCAGTGATCAACAACATCAGCATCGATCTGCGCAATTGGGAACCGATGACATGTGTCAACCAAGACAGCGAGCCTGACCACCGGTTTCCCGTTAGTTGCCTTTTACCACAAGCAATTGTCTTCAGGTATCATCTTAAATCCCTTGGCTTGAATCGCTTGATTAATCTGTACAACTCTACCTGTCTTTTTTTCAGCAGAAGACCTAGTCCAAAATCATCAACGCCTGCATTGTTGCTGACAACAGTTAGACCCTCAACTTGTTTGTCAATCAAAGCACGGATCAGGTTTTCTGGGATGCCACAAAGACCAAAGCCTGTTGAATCAACAAACACAGAATGGTCAGTTATGTCACACACTGCAGCAGGACATACAGACTCAATGTGATTCAATACAAAATGGCAATATGAAACACTTAAACATATATACTATACACCCAATTACACTCCAGGTTGAGTGAGTGAGTGAGTGAGAGAGAAAGAGAGCTGGATATTTACATCCGTTTAAGCAATATTCCAGCTTAACACATTGTACCAATGTGAGGAATCGAACCAAAGTCCTCGGCATGACAAGAGAACACTTTAACCACATGGCTACCCCACCACCGCTATGGGCAACTGAAGCTGATTTGATGCAAGAAAACATAATCATATAAATGTAATATTACTTGATTGTCATTGTAAAGGACATTTGGAAAAGCAATTACTGACAAGAAACATTATTTTCACTGGCAAAGTTTAACAGCCTATATTACACTTGTAATATTTTACATAACATTACAGCTCAATCACTGATTTTCTAGAGGGTAGAAACCCTTATTCTCAATCGAAATGATAGATATAAAACCCCATTGTAATGCAACAAATTCTACAAAAATAAGAGATCTTGATGCCTCTTACTTCTGAGAACTGAAGAACAAAAATGACAAATTGGCTGGATTCCATACAGTGAATAAATCCCACTCTGGTGCCACGACTCCTCCAGGTTTCACCTACCAGTACTAATGGTGTCTAATATGTATTTAAATTATGTAAAGTTTTCACTACAGTATTTCTATTACTCTTATTAGTAGGACTACACGGTATTAACAGTATACCTGTATATTGCAATACGCTTTTCAAACTATACGTGAGAACTGTGTGTCGTGGCCTTAGTGGCGAAACGATATATCCAGATACCAATTTAATGAGGCGAGACCATATATCATGAAAGTATTGGCAAGGAACCCACGAGACAATTATCATTACGATACAATGGTGGCGATACGATACGTATCCCGATACTTTACCGTTTCTAAAAACAGAACAGATATGATAGAATAGATAAAATGACTGAAACTTTATTTGTTATACAGCAGAACTTGTGTTACATTCACACACACTAAAAAAGCTAGTGGTCTAATAAAATTTCAGCATTTAATGCTTAAGAAAGTACAGTCAAACATATTTAGTAAACCTTGATCTAACATAAGTTTGAAACTGAAGGTTCCCTTGGGAAGTTGTGTTTCTACACCAATGCTTTCACAAACAATTCAACGTAATATATAGCAGAATACAGAATCACTGAAAAATACTCTAGCTTTCTAAGTTTTATCATATCTTTGTTCTCTTTCTTAACATTGTTCATAGTTGTTAATAAATATTGTTACTTGTCAAACAACTAAAACATATTTCAATTACTTGAAGAAAAGTATTCTACATTTCACAGAGTTTGAATTTTTTTTATACTCTTTCACTTATACACAAACTCCTTTGTTCATGTAACAAAGATAACAGATAGAAACAAATTCCTATTTTAAGTTTCTTAGTATTTCTATTTACGTAAGTAACATCTGGATATATAGTTACTTGTAGGGGTGAAATGGTACGGTCTTACCACGGTTTGTTATATGAGACTATGATCATAATACAGAAAACAGACAACAAGAACCAAACCTTACATTGTTTAATAACATGGATAAAAAAATAACCATAATCTTTGTTATTTTGCATGAACAAAACTGTCATTTTATGACTAGATAGAAATGACGGTACTAAAACCGAAAATACTGGGGTTCTACTAATACCGCAGTATACTGTTTCACTCCCAGTCTCTTGTGGCGATACATCGATGTATTATGGACCCTCGCGATATAAATATTAGGGGTGAAACGGTATACCGCGGTATTAGTAGAACCACAGTATTTTGCTTTGAGTTTGGTATACCGTAATGCAATCCAAAAATTTATTTTTTTCATTTTTTGTACCGTCATTTTATTAATCATTATTAAAAAAAAACATTCTGGAATGTGCCAAGATTGTGTAGCAGTACTTCCCAAGGACTGTGGAAAGTCTTTAAATGTTTAACTGACTGAAATCAGAGATAGGCAATAATTTAGATCAAGGACAATGATCTGGCACACAGACTGTAACTGTCTTATGACAACTGTGTTGAGTTAATTTGTTTAATTTATTTATATGTGATATGTCATCAACAGAGTCACATTCGACAAGATCTGATTTGTGTATTGTTTTGAGGTGTGTTTTTTAAACATGAACATTTCTGGGATGTGGTGATTTCACTGCAGTAAATGCTGATGTGATGTTAGTGAATTTTAATCACACTTGGCTACTTGCTATTTTGCCACACAGCTGTGAGCTCCAAGGTTCCAGTGATACTTTAGTTCTTCTATTTTGTCATGAAATGACAGTTTTGTTCATTCAAAATAACAAAGGTTATGGTTATTTTTTTTCCATGTTATTAAACAATGTAAGGTTTGGCTCTTGTTGATTTTCTACATTATGATCATATCTCATATACATAACCGAAACGGACCGAACCGAAGGCCTTGTACCACAATACGTACCATGGTAAGAGCGTACCGTTTCACCCCTAATAAATATCCTGATATATTGCCTAAATGTGTTTTGTATCGATGCAGTCGTATCGAGTAGCTGATGATGCAAACATTGATACTATCGTTACACCACTATGGTACGTATTGTAATATTTTTTTAAGAGCCAGTATATTGGGTGAAGAACATATATGAAGTGTTTGTGATTATCTTTATGGTCTAAATTAAACTCTACACAGACTTGTAGAATGTTTTCTTTCATTATTCAATGATAAAACGGCATACTGTAATTCTATAAATTGCATAAAAGAGAAAATAGAATAACTGACTGTGCAACCTAATTTTGAGATTGCTGTTATATGTTTAGTGACTTATAATGTAGAAAATAGGATAGACATGCACAATTGGTGCCACTCACTTAGGCTCCCAAAATACTGCAATACAGGTACTTGAATCACAATATATTGCAATACAATTTATTTGCCAATACACAGCCCTAATCTGAATCCCAATGCATTGTTAAAGGCACCATTAGAAACATACCTATATGCCCTTGATTGCATGCACACAGAGTCAGAGTTTAAGATGAATATTAGTGATTTCTGTGTATTTCCCTTGGTCTCAATGAAAACAAAAAGAAGATATCACCACGCAGACTGTTTTGGAGTACGTACATGTCACATTTATGCACATACTTTGCTTGAAACAACAAAAGTTTCCATCCAAATATCCTGCGTTGAACACACTATTTTGAGGTGAGGTTTTGAATGAAAATACACATGATCAATCTGTCCTGCTGCTTACATCTTTAGTTGTAATGCTTCTTTCATATTTTGCAAACTTTTGTTACAAGATTTATTTCAGTCTTAATATCTTTTGCTCTGGGACTAGACAGGAGACCACAGTAAGTCAAGTAAATCTTAATCAAAGGGGGATAACTCTGGCCCAGTTAGCACAACAAACAAAGATCACACAATAGCATAACATTTCTGCAATTATAGTGATGGTTATACTACCTTTGTAAGAAAAATTAGTGTATATTTTCAAGCATTGATATGAACTAATTCAAACATTCTGTTTTGTTTCACATAAGAAAAAACATAATTTTTCTGTGTACATTCCTCTTTAAATTATTGGTTGAATAAAATTCCCCTTGGGTTTGTTCCAGTTCATTTACGTAAATGGACTGAACTCTTTCAAACATTAGCAAACTGGAACCAAACATTGCATTGCACCTCTCCTTTAGAGAAAATGTTTGTACCAATACCTTTCATGTTATTGCTTCAACAATCCTTTTCAAATTCAAGTTTCTTAAATTGCTGTACTTCTTTAAAAAATTTAAATATCATAATCAAAATTTGCACTGCATCTCTCATCCAGACAAACAAGGTGGTAAATAAATCTGAAAACATTCCAAACCATAGTGAAGTTATCGGTTGAACAGAAATGTCTTCAAGGGGGAAAGACATAACTCTTTGGAATAACTATATACTCAGACCTATAAGGTTGGGGTATAATACACGAAAAGATGTCATCCATAAAGTTGCATGTCTACAGTGCCAGTCAAACATTTCCTAAATTAATGCAAAGATAAAGATGTATCCTTTCTGTTGATCAATGTGACAATAAGCCTTATTCCATCAATAAAAGTGACAAATGCACTTATGGCCTTCATGCAGTACACATGGCAATGCAGTCCAACATTTATCAGGTTTCATGTACACAGAAAACATTATAACAAAGGCATCACCCAGCCGGACAGAATTACAAATCATCAGGAGTCAAAACCTCTTTCAGATCACAATCCTTTCCATAGACAGAAAAATTGCAGTCTATATTCATTCTAAATATCCAGTAATAATTTGTGGCATGTGTGAGAAAATACCTTCTGAATAGATCCTGAGTCCCCTACCCAACTCCCTATTTTATTAATTCTTACAAACTCAAAACACAAGGATGTGGGGAGACTGCAGTCATGGCATGTCTGTCGTTGTCCAGCACCCCTTAGTGCTGAGAACTAATTATTATCATTTGCCATTGTGAAGAGTCTAAAAACCAATAGGTGTTCATGTGGAAATACCACGGTCAGAACAATTGTACATTCATCAAATGCTATGCTAACTATCAGCATTGGTCATCTAATGAAAGGTGCCTAAAACAAACACATAAGAAACAAATCAGCTGTTATCAAGAAAAACATGTTATATATTCATCATCTGTCATATTTCATATTGAAAATATGCAGTGTTGAGCAGGGAGGTAACTTTGTCAATGTTTTTCCTTTGGGAACCTTGTGCAATCTGTTTCTAACTTTGATTTGTTTTTCATTTCTTAGAAATGCTTGTTGGCTTTTATAATCAGTGCCATGAACAATGTGCCAGACAGGTGGATAATATAACAGGATGCTATATGATACCAATATTAACATTGTAACATTATTTATTTCATCATTGTGGTAATAGTGAGATGCAGTAAATGCATATACACAAGATTTGGTGCAAAAACATAGGGCTCTCAGACTCAGTAAAACAAATTGAACTGAATCAAGCACATTTCAGTTTAATTGATATTTTAACAAACAAATGCAAATTATAAGACTCAAATTTCTGACTGATCCACTAAATATGTCAACAGCTAAGTTATATTTCCAGGGTTCGAAATACCCCATATATTAGCGTACCATGGCACGGTAAATACTAAAATGGCACGGATAAAAAAGTGTTCCCGTGCCCTTATAGCACACCTAATATTTTAGAGACATAAATCACCTTTAGTCATTTAATCCCCAAAACAAAACACTTACGCAAATGAAAAACAAGCAAAAACATTTATTGACTTTATCGCCCAGGAAATCACTGGAATTATGATGGATGATGTAAAGAAATCTGGTTGCTTTTCCATTCGTTGGTTTCACATTAATTTTCGACAGAGCGTGTAAAAACATACACTGGACAACTTCCGGTTTGGTCGTATGCTTTGCCGATAATGTAAACACACTCTAAAGAAAGCAAAAATCAAAACAAATATATGGTTTTATGTCAAAATTAACTGATCTCAATTCATTTATGAATGGAAGGGACCGGGATTAGTTAAATAAATAGTTTAACGTTTGTTAACAAGCTCTTGTATAAAACACATCTCACCACCACCCGTCTACCTTCCTTGCTGCACATCCCCTTCTCACAAATAAAGGAAACATCTCTGATGCAATTGCCACCAAAATAGGACATCAATTATTGAAAAGCATAGGCAAATGGATGTATGTACTCAACTATGAACAGTTGTCACATGTAAATAATCTTCATACAGCTTTTATTTACAGTGTGTTTACACTATCGGTAATACGACCAAACCGGAAGTTGACCAGTGGATATTTTTACACGTTCTACGCATGCACACACCGAGTCGAAAATTAATGTGAAACTAATGAATGTAGAGTGATGGGAGAACTGATAGTTTGGTTATTGAAGAGGACATTGTGTATGTTAGATATGTTGAACAAATGAACCTGTCACAAAATTCTTAGCTATTAAAGGTGTTGGGAAAGCAGAACAAATGAACCTTAAGAAAGCCATCTTAAACAGAAGACATACCAGTGATAACAGAAAACAGGTAACATTTGTTGTTTACTAACAATGTATTTCAAATGATCATCATCATTGCTACAGTCATTTATTCTAAAATATGTAGGCACACTTGATTTCTGAAAGGCACATTTAAAATATTTGTCTGATGCCCCAAGGCACACTTAGAAAAAAAAGTATTACCGGTACTATCCCTGATTTCATGCATGGAATTAGTGCAGTGAGGGTTTCATGGAGAGTGCAACACATGCATGTATAGGTACTTACACATTACTAATAGACACAGTAATAGAACACAGTATTGCAATGTATTGATACTGTACACACACCTACATACCTCCAACCAGAAGTTTGGATCCATCAGGAATATCAGACACAGCTTCATCTGCATTCTTATAGAACTTGGCATCACGTTGTTTACTGGTTGAGAAACATTTCAAGCCCTGAAACACACGTTAAACATTCAACAAATAGATGGATTTCCAACCTGTCTTCATTAACATGTAAATGGGACCAGGGACCATATAATAAGATGTTATTATATAGTCACCTCATGGGCAACTGCCCATGGTTGAATGACAATCAAATAACCAATTAATACAGGTGAGGTGAGGTGAGGTGAGGTGAGGTGAGGTGAAATTGGGTTTAACGTCGTGCTTGAGAATATTTCGCTCATATGACGGTGTGCATGCGTGTGTATGTGTATGTGTGGCTGCTTGTACTAGCCCAGACTTAAGCTGGTTTTATAGTGCTAGCTCACCGAGATGCCATGCCGCAGTGAAGCATGAATGCCCCACTCAGACACAGTATACTGAGCCGACCAGTCCTTGTTGTACCCTTTAATGCTGAGCGCCAGGCAGGGACCAACAAGTACTATATTTTAACGTCTTTTGGTATGACGTGGTCGGGAATCGAACCCTGCGACCTTCCGCACTCCGGGCGGACGCTCTAACCACTACACCACGGAGGCGGTCCAATTAATACAGATTAATGCAGAATGTGTTTTAGAAAGTACTTAAAAAATGTTACATTTGGGATAACACTTTTTGAGTAAAGTACAAATTCTAGCATTTGTTAAAGGTGGGGTAGGGTGTGTGAGGGTGTGGGGGGGGAAAGAGCACTCTCAACAGTACAGCACCTAATGGCCAATGGACTTTGTCACCGAGTGTTCTTCGGCATGTCCAGTTGGACTCAACAACAAGAGTACTGGAATTCATACTGTACTCGGTCATTCCAATATAACATTTGTTATCAATAAAGTCTACAAACCTGGCTATATCATCCAAATTTGTTACCGCTTACAAACAAATAATAATGAATCTGGTCATCAAGGGCACACTACAAAAGCTCTGTTATATAGGTTGGTAGTATCTAAATTGTCTACAAGTTCTGCACTTTGCATGAACATTTTGGATTATGCCTGTTCAACATATCTAGTCTTGCTGTGAATGCAAAATACAGCACAAGACAAGAACCTTGTTGAAGTTTCTAATCTTGTATCATCTATGAAAGAACAGAAGACCTTACAGTCATCAGTGACCAGCCAATGATAATCTGGAGGTGTGACCTTGACAGCCAATGAAGTTGACCGACATCAGCCATGCACAGAATATACATGAATTCTAAATTCAAGGACTTTAACACAATTTATGTTACATAATCGACAACTTTTACTTCGTCCAACTCATTGCAACTAGATAAGGAGGTAAGCTTCACCTGGATCTGTGAAGACTGTGTCACATCACCTAGTCAACAAAATGAATTAGTTGCGTCTTACAATATAAGCCTTAAAATAAAGTCACATAGCGTAATGTACATATAAATCCAATCCATATTATACCTGTGATATGCGAGGTGTGACAGTTTTATATAAGGGGTTGATATTTTGTAAGCGAACAATCTTGAAAAGTGTTGTCGCCATCACTGCAGTCAAAGGGAACTCACTCTTGCAAACTAAAAACAGTCAGAACCCGTCGAGACAAGTTTCGCAGTCTCGTTTCCGCAAATGCCCAGCGGATTCGCACGATAGAATCCGAATGAAATCCGAATATTCTCTTGTACGGAGTTACCCTCGTCATCAAGTGGCATCGATGGACTTCATACCCGCCGTAAGGGTTAATGGTGGCCGAGAAGGATCGAGATCGCATTTTAGCCTCTGTTATGGCAGCGATAACTCGAGACGAAATAACGATAACACGAGAACCAGAAAAGAGATAGCGCGAGGTGAAATAACGATAAAAGAAGGAAAAGAAAGCATAAGCACGAGACGATATTGGATATCAAAACCGTATTAGGGGCCGTTCATAATTTATGGCTAAGGGGGGTGATGATGCTTTTTAGTGGGGTCACCCAATTTTGTACACATGTATTAGGGGTGGTTGGGGGGAGGGGTTGTCATTGATTTTGTTCATGACATGGGGGAAGGGGGGTCCACTTACTTTGTACATAAATTTTAGGAGGGATCATTCACATTGTACATATGTTTCCCCATAAAAATCATTATCACTCCCTAGCCATAAATTATGAACGGTTCCTTATGATGTTGTGACTGAAGGATGAATTATCGTAAATTAATTAATGCTGTGAAAGTGTTCCCGTAAATGCGAGGGTTGAAAATCAGCAAATCGAATGCAGACTTTGCAAAATAGTTATTTTAGGGAGCTGACAGGATACAAAGAAATTGCCATGTTGTGGTGAGGTCTGATTGTTTGCGACGTAATGTAGGAGTTTGACCCCTCAGCACATGTACTGACCACACATGACAAACATTGAAAGCGGAGATTCCGACTCTTCTCTGTTTGCAGGGCCCCGTTCAACAAAGCGATATACGATCACAAAGCATGTAACCTCAACACGTGGACATACACCTCGTCAATCACGTCAGTGGATAGGGCTTATCAACGTAACTAAGGCCGAGGGTCATTTATTACTACCTCTATATTGTATTCTGGCGGAAAGGAGTATAAAGAAAGTTACGCTGAAGTATAGTCCGTTTGGCTCAAAACTGGACCGGTGAATTGCAATCTAACTCGAAAACTACTACACGTATAATACTCAATGAAACACTGATCAGAATCAAAACATCAGACCAACTCAGTGATTTTTGTTTTCCAGAATTTATGTCCTAAAAATAATAAAGTTGTTTAACAAACTATCAAATTCCAGTGACCTCAAATTCCAGTGAAGTTCAGCTTGACACCAAGCTAGTCGTGCTGCTTTGTGCTCTTCGGATAACAACAGACCCTTTGTTGGACCCTTCTGTTGGACAAACAATCATGTGGAAGCCATGTAATTCTTACAAGGGCTGCCTGTGTCCTCCCTCCGACGCATGGTCGACCTCACGGTGCATAACGTCATTAGTTTGCTGAAGGTTTCTGGCCAATCGGCTGATAGTCGATGAATGACAAAAATATTCTCTTGCAATAGACCTGAATGGCATGTCAGCACTCCGTATTACCAAGAACTTGCCATTATGTTCATTATCTTTTCATCCTAATGCTTTCATTTAAATCTCATACATATGATCCAATTTGTGATCTTATCCCTGAAATACCTGTCTTACCACCTTCCCGAAGGCAAGAACTATTTGGATGTATAGTGTTCTTTGCAAGGTCCCTCTTTGGTACAGCAATAGTAGATGATGCACGAACACTCGGATCTCTGAGTAGACAAACGTCTGAAATGGCCAAAGTATTTCAGCAACATGAAAATATGCAAATAAGACAACGATCGTCTTTACGATATTGTGAATGGGGTAAAATCGAACCATGATGCCATTCTGTTATTAGAATTTGCTCCACTCATAGTCAAAGATGACAAATTACTATATGCGAATGCTTTGTCTTCCAGCTCGTCAAATTGCCCTTTCTGCGATTCTTGAACATCATTTGGATCAACTTCTTTGGCCATCAAAGAACATGTACATGGAAAACATTCACCCTAACTTGTTCCATTCAACGTGTTAGGGCATACGTACATTACAGCGAATCCAGCATACCCTGAACAAAAATATCCTCGTTTTCATGTGGCTAATACAGTCATCAACTCATACTATGGAAAAGGTAACTTCCTCATTACCAGGAACGGTTTGGAAATATATATATGTAAGGGTAAGGATACTCCAAGATGCAATCAATTGCTGTCCCATTAAGTAGAACGTCCAGACTCAATCAAGACTGAATCCATGCAGTGACAATTTCAGCAGCATGTCTACCACTGACTTAGTAGATAGCTCCATAGGTACCACCTTAACTTTCCCCTTCAGTGTAACATTTCATCCTAAAGCTTCCCAGTCTCACCTCGCTGCTCTATATTTCAATCACAAATCAAATGTTCGCAAACTATTCAATTTTCGGTTCCTAATAAACAACCTTGTACCACAACTTCAGGACCTAACTCCTCGCTGTTGATTACCATGCTCATCATAAAATGATTCAAGGATGCCTTTGCATCTTCTCTGTTCCTTGAAGATATTCCCTTTCTTCCAAAGATTTGTATTCACGCCAGGGCCAGATGTTCAAAGAATGGTTTCCACTCAACATCAGTTAAATCAAGCACTCATCCAGGGCTTCTTCAATGATACACAATATACATTTATTAGTGGCGATACTACATTCCTATCGATATGAATTACCCCCTTTCACTTATTTAATCATTCGTTGGTTTCTGTGATAAGGAGCACCATCTGAGTTTACCCCTCTGGTACTTAGTGCTAAGAACAGGAAAATTACATTTACCAATTTAGCTGAACCTATCCAGTTGTAAGGTCTGGCATGAGAATTGTTTATCTCTGAAGGATTGTTAACGTATGGGTTTTTTGGGATCACCAACAAATTGTTCCTACCTGTTGGTGGTTAGACACATGAAATATGTGGGCACGTGACCCCGCACGCGTGCAGGGTAGCGTCCCCACAAAAGAGGATGCCACATGGTTCACCACAGCTACTTACGAAAAGAACCCGGACGAGCGAAAAAGCAACATCCGGGTCTCCAGCAATGTCGTTTCGTTCCTTCCGTTTGTTGGTTTGTACGTTTGTTGTTTAACAAACACTCAACACTCATCTCTATTCCAGCTACATGGTGACGGTCTGTATATAATTTAAAGATATCCCTAAAATGTCTTGTGAACGATTGACATTCGTCTGTAAATGGGATTCTCCGACAACTCGTATGTGGTGGTGAAAGTAGTCCGCTTTGATGGGCGTGGTTTAATTTTTTTACCTTCTTAACGGGATGTGGAAGTTTTGGGAGGATACCTTCATTAACAAATTCAATGCAATAACGTATGACAAGTTCAGCCAATCACAATTCCGGAATTGTTCACAAGACAACCTAATCATAGAGAAATGAATGCAGTAACACGTACCAATCAGAACGCAGGAGTTACAATGAACGAAAATTCCATCATTTGCCTAACATATCGTCCCGCGTGATCGTAGACTATTCTGAAAGCTTCCAGTGAACGCTTAAGTTCTTTCTTGTTGTTCCACATGCAATTGAAGGCTATTCTGCCATGGCGTAATAACACTTGTGGAGTTACCATTCCCGGGTCATACACGTGTCACAGGCAGGATCATCAGTTTCCGATCCAGTATTCAGGGTGAAGCTGTTGAGAAGTCGTTGCATCAAAGGGGAGACTGATGCGTCGAACATCGCATATTAAATATCTAACACAAAAAAAGTAAATACATGTATCCGTTTTATTCACAAAACAAAGTATAAATTAAAACAATAGGAAATTGCGCCTTACCATGCTATAGTTACTGGAATGTAACACACACACTCACAGAGTTACCATGATGTAGTTACTGGAATGTAACACACACACACTCACAGAGTTACCATGCTGTAGTTACTGGAATGTAACACACACACACACACACACACTCACAGAGTTACCATGCTGTAGTTACTGGAATGTAACACACACACACACACACACTCACAGAGTTACCATGCTGTAGTTACTGGAATGTAACACACACACACTCAGAGTTACCATGCTGTAGTTACTGGAATGTAACACTCACAGAGTTACCATGCTGTAGTTACTGGAATGTAACACACACTCACAGAGTTACCATGCTGTAGTTACTGGAATGTAACACACACACACACACACACACAGTTACCATGCTGTAGTTACTGGAATGTTACACTCACAGAGTTACTATGCTGTAGTTACTGGAATGTCAAACGTACACACAGAGTTACCATGACTTATGAATGATCTGCTCCTGGTCGGTCGTGGCTATTCGACATGGTTACAACATCTGTGAAGTTCAGTTCTCACTTTGAAGGTTATATAAGGTCAAATGAAAAGCGGGCTTTGATCAGAGTTTCTGGTAACTACCACGAAGGACATCCTCGTTTAACAAATGAAGGAAAGTATTGAATATATACGTTTGATCTGCAATGTCATATCTACATCCGTCAACTAAATACAGCTCCATAACAATAGATTAGTCTGGTTATAGTCCGAAGATTGATGATTGTCAATACATAATCGAAGCGAAAAACGCCTTCAGATCAGCCAAATGTCCAACGTGGTTACCCTAACATGGTTATATAAGTGTAGGGGCAGTGATACCGTACTGGGTCAAAAGAATAAATTTCATTGAGAGACAAATCTGAAATTAAGTCGAGAGCTTTAGTCCAATGTAAGAGTTTCTTAAAGCAGACAATGATGGAAACTGTGCACCATGGTATATATAACTTACTACCCATCAACAGTTTAGACTTAAATCACTCACTACATGTCATGAACATATATATGGTTTCATTGGAGATGAATTTCTCCACTAACTTAGGGGAATCAACTGCAAACCTTATGCAGATGAACTGCACCAGGATCATGCATGAAATTGCTGAAAAGCATGTGTAAATATCGTGCATGTGAACAGCTGCGTTTTGGTGTAAAGGTTTGTTAAGAAGTCGACAATTTTCACTGAGTTTCATCATTTATTGAACTCATAACAATAATCTTTTCAACGTTACGAATTTATTTTACAATAAGTAGCTACATTCTCACTAGTGAGTCTAAACATTTGATGGGTAGTACACATGTGCGTACACACACACACACCAGTATTGGATCTCTGCAAATGTAGGAACATAAGCTACGAGCCATCTCAGAGATGATAACTATATCTATTTATTGTATGCCTCGTATTGTTCATACTTTCGTGTCATACAGTTTCGCAAAAATAATGTGATGAAATTACATATATGTATTTGCATAATTTACAAGGACGCTTCTTATGCTCATACAATACAACATGGTGTTTTTTGGCCCATATAAGCCTTAGTTAAGCCTTGCCCTTCACACATGCACACTTTGCTTGTATTGTACCCATCACGGACGTGTTTCACGAAGTTATGCAAACGTAGCTGCCAAGGCAATGGCGATGACGACAACAACAACAATGACTATCCCAGCCACAATGAACATACATCTCCGTGATCTTTTCCGGTGTTTCCGGGCCTGCTTCAGTTTGACATTACCTTCTCCCACGCAAGTCTGGGTACTGGCCATGTTGGATTCTATGTTGTCCAGCTTCTCACCCTGGTCGTGAACAAGCACACTCATGTCCTTAAACAACTGGTTCACTTCAAACACACTCTTCTCTAAGGCCAGGATATCGTTTTGTCGGTCCTCTATTTGACGAAGCTGAGACGCTGCGTCCTGCGTGTCCGAGATGAAGTTTTGCGTGAATGCATTGTAGTTATCTTTCTGGAGGATTTCGTTCATCTCGTCCTCGTCCATGTTGTTAGTTCCTTTTGTCACCTCAAGCTGTGTACGCATCCTCTTCTTCATCTTGTCCATGTAATCTGCCTGGATCTTGAAAAACGTATTGGTGTCAGCCGCGAGTGTATTGGTCAGGCGGTTCAGCTGGTGTGTTCTTACCCTCTGTAGAGCAGATGACCCATCGGATCCCTTTTGCTCGCTGGCAGTCTCTTGCTCTAGACCTCGAAGTTTTAGCCTGGCCTCCTTAGACACCTACAGAACATACAGAGACAGTATAACAATTGTTCATCACATCAGCAAAGTAAATCAGTCAGAAGAAATTAAAGATAAACGGCAATGAGCAGATTGTCTGTTTCACAAGAATTACATCTGAAGCTTTGGCGATCGCATCTTCGATTATCCACGACATTTAAATCTATCCAATCACAATATATACCAATGGCACATTCACCGTCACCACCTCCATACCTCTTACCTCGCACGTCCAAGCATCGTTGGCTGGTGAGTAGAATTTGTTGGGACGGCAAGTTTAGCTAAGATATGGTAGCAAGTGGCCAATATATTTTTCATATTAGAAAGGTGATGTAAGACACAGGACACTCGAGGGTGTGGCGATCGACAAGCAATAATAAATAATCGCACAGATCAACACATTTCTGGCGCACCCAAACAAACGTCGCCGCAAGAGACTACAAACCTATAAACATGATCTCATCCACCATCATGTACAGAGCACAGTAATGTAGCTGGAATATTGCCGAGTTCGCGCAAAAGTCACACAACCAAACAAAACCTTTCAAAAACTTAGCATAGAGGGTTAACACTAAAGCTAGTATGAATTAACACTTTCATCGCTCTTACAAAGCAAATTCTTCCTGTTCTATTCAGTACACGAATCTGACCTTAGATGTCAGTAACAGGCGTGTCCCTGGCACTAATAAACTTGATTTATCAAGCCAGGGTACATTCAGTGTAACAACTAAATAACGTTCATATTACTGGTGAGAGATCATTTTTCGTTCGTTTGTTGTTTAACGTCGCACTCAGCAATAGTTCAACTATATGGCGGCGGTCTGTAAATAATCGAGTCTGGACCAGACAATTCCATGGTCAGCAGCATGAGCATCGATCTACGCAATTGGCATACGATGACATGCGTCAACCAAGTCAGCGGCCCTCACTACCCGATCCCGTTAGTCACCGGGTTACTGAAGATCAATCCTAAACCGGATCTTCCCGGTGAGGTCGAATGACCTTGTTCCGCACTTCTCACGCCCATCTCCAGACTAGGTGTAATTAGTGTTATTAATGTGGGAACTCGTTGTCTCTGCAACTTGAGTAAACATGAATTTTGTAATAGAATTTCCAGACTGTTATGATGCAAGTGTTTGATGTCAACCGGCATGCTTACGGGTCATGTAATCTAGCACTGTGCGAGGAGGTAAAGTTAACATAAGTTACTTTTCAAAGGGTCCCATGCTGCGCTCATTGTCTTTTTCTTTCAACCTTTATTTGAAACACAACACACTTTTTCAGTGCACTCAATTAACTGACAACATAAAAGGAGTAGAAAATGCAGTGTGGTTTCTACGTGCAGTTTGAATTCTACGCCGACATAAACAAAAAAGAGGTAGTACATAACATTTTGCTGCAAACAAGCAGTATTATCAAACATAGTTCCATTATATACAATGCACATATAGACTAGATCCCACAACCCCATGCTTACAGCTACCTGTCAGATCAATATTTGCCGGAAACAGCAGCCATAACGGCATCGACATAAAACACTACAGGTGCATGATGTGTATAAGCTGCTCACCTGTTGAACATGGTTCACAATCTGTTCATATTTGTACACGTCCGCCTTGTCACAGAAGGGCGAGTTGAGCATATGTTTCTGAAGATCTTCCATTTCCTTCACATTTCTTTCTATTGTTGTCAGATTTCCCTCGATGTCCCGGACTTGTTCTTGAAGGCTTTCCATGTCGTCCGCCACTTTAGGTTTATTTTTTGTCTTCATTTTCTCATTATCGGTCTTAGACCCCTTCTGACCTGCCTGTAGTTCTGCCAATCGGTCCTTTACACCCGACATTCCAATCCCCCTCTATCAAGCCACTGTTAAAACAGACACGTTAGAGATTGTCTGCCGCAGGACGTGTTGATCGGGGAACTCACAACAGGGAGATTCCACTTAACGGGGGTGTAGTGAGATAAGTGAGCAACAACTTGTATTGCGTATTTCTTTCCATGAATAGAAACAACTAAGCAAATAACACAAAAAGTTATAAAAGTTCATAAATTGACGAGCAACTGTTGTCGAATAAATATTGATCAACCGCTACAATAATTATTTGTAGCCGTTGACGATATTTCTTGTTGATATATATAATGGACTCGTCGGTGTTTAAAAATAGAAGTCAGGTCACCTCCACATCTGACTCAGTGCGTTGAATATCGATCTAATTATAGCGTATGGTTCAACGAATGCATTAAGGGCGTGCGTATGCGATGTCCTGTTTGTTTGATGACATTGTAATGTATGTGTAAATATCTGCAGTATATGATTGTGGACATATTTAATCATCCAATGTTGCAACGTTATCGTTTTAACACGTGTGTTGTGCCCTAAAACCTACAATGGTCTTAAGTGCACAGTAATAATAACATACGTTCACCTATGTCAATGCACCTATATGAAATAGACCCCAAATGGGGTAGAAATATCGGGGAAATTATCTCACGCATGCAGCTGTTACCTGCCCTACCCTGCGAAGCATCCACAGTATACGTCCAAAAACTATGTGACTTCACTCGGCTGATCTTAATGTTCTGTGACACCGAAATACTCAAAAGAACCTTAAATGCATCTCAGGTACCCACGAACTGTCATAATAATACGATACCAAAGAATGAAATAAAGCTCATATTCGAAACAGCAATCGATTGACAGTCAGTTTGATAGTGTGAGTGAGTGAGTTTAGTTTTACGCCGCACTCAGAAATATTCCAGCTATATGGCGGCGGTCTGTAAATAATCGAGTCTGGACCAGACAATCCAGTGATCAACAGCATGAGCATCGATCTGCGCAATTGGGAACCGATGACATCAGTTTGATACATTATGTATCCATATAGTAATTATTAAGTCACCAATTATTGATTATTAACTTATATTGTTATTCTAACATGTTTCAGGCTAGTGTTTGATCGCACATGTTGTAATAACATTCCACCTTTTTGTTGGTTCTTGTCAGAAGTAACCCCATCCTAACGCCACTATATATTTTCGATGTCGTTTTGATTTGCATTTTTTTGCGATTTTACGTCCAATGCTTTTGTTTGTAAGGTAAGGTAACGTAGATTACAGTTTGGAAACGTAGATTAAAAAATGCTGTTGTATTGTCAGTGAAGTTCATTATGTTACCTCTCAGATGTTGATTCTTTTAGCTGCCTTATTTTGCATAAAGAACTGTGTTTAACCGCATAGGCGGATCCAGAAATTGTCAAAGGGTGGAATGGGGTGGGATTCAGGGGGCTCAAATCCCCTGAACCCCACCTTGGCTCCGCCATTGCAAAACATTAACTTCAATCTGATCTTCGAACCCCCTGGACACACACACCCCCCACCCCTCTGGATCCGCCACTGAACAGTATAACATAAAGTTATATTTTCAAGAGCTTGGACTTGATTACGTTTGTAGTTACAATGCCAACAAACTCAACTGACTGGAGAGAAAGTTACATGTAATGTTGCTTCCTTTCATGAAGATCAGGTCACACGCCCATGTGCATTTACAGCATTTGACAATTTGTCATGTCACTTTTTTTAAATAGTGGTCAAATAAACGCAAGACACTTGTATGGTAACAGCTTCTTTATTCTATAATGCTGCGACATCTGTTGTAGGGCTCCACACACACGTTTCGTTGTAGATATATAGATATATACCGTTGTCAAGAAAGAGTGAAGTATAACGCGATTTACAAACTCAGCACGAGGGTTTGCAGGACACTTCATTCATTTACTATGATTAGGCTTCCTTCTGTTATCCACTGTTGTTGTTAATTTATTTCATACATAACATGTTGTTTAGTCCCTATTAGACGTATCTATTGTGTTGTGCTGTGCTGCATTGCTTCATTCTTAGCTTGACCGTAAAGATCCTGGTTAGAATTGTTCTTCAGCAACCCATGCTTGTCGCATGAGCCGACAACGGCATCGGGTGGCCTGGCTCGCTGACATGGTTGACCCACATGTCAACGTATCCCTCTTGCGTAGATCGATGCTCATGATGTTGATCACTGGATTGTCTGGTCCAGACTTGGATATTTTCAGACCGCCGCCATACAGCTGGGATATTTCTGAGTGCGACGGTAAACAACAACCAAACCATTCTTGCTTGACAACGGTGTAAGGATCTATACCAAAACAGAACAGAAAAAGAGTGTCATCCAATCCCGTTGCCCAAAACATTGATATAAGGCAATCGGAGTCATCGATTATAGATTCTAATTCAACTTAGTATGTAACACGAGTTCTGATTGGTCAATGCTATAAATTTCCGACCGTATAATCAGCATATACGGTCGCAATTTGAAAACCGATTCACCAAAACCTTTAAATGTATCCCTACACTTTTGGGGTAACGCTGCTTTGCAGGACATTGTCATTTGCAGAAGCCATAGGTCAATTAACTGCCCTATCCAGCTAAAATGGGTGAAATTTGTGTTAAAAAACGACAAAATAGTATCATAAATTAGACCCAACACTGTTAGATCATGAAACAAGATTATGACGTCATTATGGAACGTGACGTCACGTCATTTGACAACAGAACTGATAATGGCCGGTAGTTACGGGCCGCTCGTTTCTGTAACTAGAGGGCGGTTTCATCATAATTCCTTCCATTTTATCTATAATACTATGATCTATTCATCATTGTCAGGGCCTACCTTTAGAATACAGCATCACAAACTTTAAAAATACGTCATAATACCCTTTTACGTAATGTAATGTGATTTTGTTCGAAAGCACGATCTCGAAACAGTGCCCTATGACGCCTGCATGGCAACACGGTTGTCTGGCTCAGCGAGTGCGTATAAGCTCCGCTCACTGGTGTTTAATCTCTACGAGCTATGTCATTGCATAAGCCCAACGATGTTGAGAGTTTCCAGTAGTTGTATACCGGCGGATGCGCAATATTTTGCAAGCACCAGTTTGAAATATGTTTCTTTTTTTCACTAATACGCTCATATTTATTTGTATTACGGGCTGCTGAGGTGTTATGTGTTGTGTAGTTTGTATTTTGTAATTTTATAAATTTACATATATATTTTTGTCATTCAGTAATTTGCACCATTACATAGAAAAGTGTTTTATTAGTATTTTATTTTTCGAAGCGGTAATAATGCATTACACTAGACACGTCAGTCGTGTCAGTGCCGGTTCAGTCAATGCATTCTATTTATTAGGATTGATTCAAGGGATTAGGGTTAGGGTTAGGGTTAGGGTTTAGGGTTTAGGGTTAGGGTTGGGGTTGGGTACATGTCCGGTGGTTCGGTCAATGCATTCTATTTATTAAGATTATTTCAAGGGGTTAGGGTTAGGGTTAGGGCTGAGGGTTAAGGGTTAGGGTTAGGGACCTAATCCAATATAGTAGGTACATGTCCGGTGTAATACGTGAGTAGATCTACCATTTGTTGTTTTTCCTTTTAGCATTTTAATACTTTTTTTCACACAAAAACGGGAAACCAAAAACGTCGAAAGTACATTATGAAATGGGTTAATGTAGAAATTTTGGGCTAATGGAAATTGGCCTGGAATTTGCACTGAAGCCTCTTTCACACGCAACATAAATTTTGTAAAGTAATGATGCGAAGGCTAACTCACCCTCGTGCCGTCACTACACATGCTCATGTCTCCCTCGTTCCTTAGTGCGATCCACATTATCCTTACAGTGTTCCCTACATCACTTTTCTGTCACAAAATCACCGATTTATATAAAAGCGCGTCATTCATGCATACACCGTGAAATCTACGTCTGACGCCTGACGTCAACAACCCTTTTCAGTTTGAGGCATATCGGCTCATTCCACGCCACACGTTAATTTGTAGATTACGGAATGGGACGAGTGTGCCAAATGGCATCGGATCCATTCGGCGTAGAATAAAATCACATGACACCAAGTCTACCCGTAGCATTCGTAATTGTCCGTGACCTATTCGACTCTTTCCGTTCATTTCCGTGACGTCACAGGAATGACTTGATAAATTTGCACCTTGTGTAACAGTGTGGACGTAGCTCAGTCGGTTAGCTGTCGAGCTAACAATCCGAAGGTCGTGGGTTCGCGTCCGACGGGTTTTCACAAACTGGTTGCTTGTCTTAATGACACGTGACCTACGGCAGAGATCGTCCTCACGAGAAGTTGTGGTGCTGTATTCTAAAGGTGCTCCATTGTCAGATTTAGTCTGTGTGCACATAATAAACGTGTGTAGTTTGAAAAGGGAACTACTTTTTCTGGCGATGGTGTAAGTTCAAGGAGTGATATGATTAACCTTTGACCTACAGGAACTTTGACCTGGTTTAAAATAATGAATTTCTTTCACGAAAAAACAGCGTAAAACGAGTTGAATTAGAATGGGGATAACTAAGAAAATTACAGTAAACTACTCCGTTGCATCCCGTTTCTTGGTTTGCAGTTGCTTCACGCAGCTAACATCACTGGTGGAAACATTACGTTTATGTTTTACGACGGTTAAAATGTGTCAATTCGACTCACAAGTTTTCAGCGACACCGCAACGTTCGCAATGTTTACATTCCCACAATGCAATCGTGGAATGTCGCTTGACTACTCAGCTTCATGAACATAGAGATTTTTTCTGGGTTACATCTTCTTTTTATTCTCGAGTACAACGTTTCAGGGCTTGTTCTGGTCCCATCATCAGGTAAAACTGAACAGTAACTGTTAACTCTGGCCGTGACGTCACAATGCTTATGACGTCACAATGCTATGACGACGCAATACATGTGGTGGTCAATAGATACAGATGACATGGCTAATAGAATACATAGAGAATACTACACGAGGTCTCATTACATACGAATTATACGAAACTCGTGACCTTCCTATGTTATCTGACCTCGCTTTATAGGAAGGTCACGAGTTTCGTATAATTCGTATGTAATG